CTCGCTAAGCAAACGAGCCGAACACGAACACACTTTTTGAGCTCGAAATATAAACGAGCCGAACACCAGCTGAGCCTGGAATCGCTCGTGTTTGGCTCGTTTACACCCCTACTTATTTGAGTTAGGATTAATTAAATTTAGAGAAATTTCAATAAGTTTCTAGGTTAGTCCAAAAAATACATTTATTGAAATTGATCAACGTGTTCCACACCTTTTTTATTCCATTGAAACGTTCCTACATATCCTTTACTTGACCTTAGAGAGCTTGACTTTGAACTAATAGAATGTAATTATACATTTTTATGCTTCTTTGTTTAGTCATTAAAGATTAATATATGTAAGTCCCTAATATATGTCTCTTAACACTTCTCAAATGATTTGGCATGACTCAATAACATTGATTATCCTTATCGTTAATTATCTTTATTGGTTAGAAAGCTAGTGCATTCATCATAGATAGGGTGCATTCCGATTTAATTTTGTCTAGAAAATCACCCATAAAATTTAGCATTAGGTAGTAAATTGTTGATTTAATTATAAACTTAATGATTTAAAGAGGGAAACTATCCTTGTTATTCTTTTTAATCACCATCTTGTTAAACATCCACCTAGAATATTGTATATTCTAGATGAAGTCAACTTCAATAATGTTGCCAAGCTCTTCTTTGCCAACTTCACCATAGACCCCGTTGGATTTCCCGAATCCTACCACACCAGCACTGTCACCATTTGCGATTTTAGGGTTATTGTCGCGGCGCTGGGCCATGCTGTTTCTACTTAGCGAGTAGTGTCGGGCAGCACTGGCAGTAGCTACCAACTCTAGCATATGGGGCAGACGTAAGTGTTTTTTAAACGATGACATTTCTGCTTTATCATTTTTAATTTAATAAAAAGACTAATCAAATATTTTTTTTATATTTTATCTCCATACTTAGGTCATTCATATCATTTAGGATATTATTTGGAGTAATTATGATGCTCCGTACCTTTAATGGAAGGAGATCCCGATAATAATTCATAATATGTGGTTCTAGAAGTTTGGGATATATGCCGAAAATAGTAAACAAAGCTTATGTTTATATGCTTATCGATCTAACTTTTTAGTTTCATGTTGCTGAAACAGTTCTGACAACGCTCTGAGCATGCGACCCACATCAGGAGGAACTTCAAACACAATGAGAGCAATAGTGAGAAAGTATGAAAGACGTGTCGATGTTTGCTGTAGCTCAGTGAGGATGTGTGAGTCACTTCTTAAGGCCTGAGATTTTCCAGATTACCTGAAGAAGAATAAACATGCCAAACAAAATCATTTCTCTGATTGCAAAGATTCGAGCTTCCAAGCATACTGGTGGGGTACTCCCACATACGAAGTACATGAAGATTCTAGTAAGAGCTTATTTTTGTATTGAATATTATTGTAAATTAAAACTATATATACTAATTTTCTCATTACATTGTCAATCTCTAGAGAGGACGAGAGCCCACGACATCCAATTTACATGTGGCACCCAAAAGATCGAACCAAGCCTAGGTGAACAGCAAATCTCAAGCAACCTAGTAATTCACATAATTAACTAGCATGCAATTTAAATAAATATTGAAGTTTTTTTAGCCTTTAACTTTGCTTAACCAATTTTTTTAAGAGAACTTTTGAATGTTTATGGAGAGCCCAACCCAAAAACCAGGCGATGTTACGATCCCAAGCTGTGATTCGTTCGAGTACAAGCTGTGTAGGGAGACTATTAGAGGGTCAAATCTACAAATTGGGGTCTCATGCACAGGCCTACGATACTTGTCCCTCCTCCAACACAATCAGGGTATTCACTTCTACCGCTCAGAAGGATGAGGTTTGTAGGCAGGTTGTCACATTCTCCACAAATAATATGGCTAGAGTTGCTGTCCAGCTCGACCAAATGAGGTTGAAGATGGATGCCAAAATGAAATCAAAACCGAATGTGTTCCAGTGTCGGGCTAAGCAGAGAGGAAAGCAGCAAGTTGTCCTTGATTTCAAGGAAAATGATGATGGGGGATTGAGGGCAATTCATAATTTTTTTTTTTATTTCTATTTGTTTATATGAAACTATTCGAGCTAATACCTAATGTTCATTACAAACATTCTTTTTGGTATGTTCAATGCATTTTTTTTTTATTTATGATTTTGATTTCAATATTGATTACTGTTATATTAGTTTAATGTCTGTTTGGATCGGTAAATTGTACTCATTTGATTTGTATGTGTTACGAATGCATGAATGAGATTGTAATGACGAAGAAGGATATTTATTTACTCTTTTGGATTCTACATATTTCCAACAGTTTTCCTACGATTATTTGACATGTTCGAGTTCATTTGTCGTGATTCCGACAGCTATCATCTGTCGGTTAATATACGATGAAAAACCAACGATCATTCCTTGGGTTGTCGATGAAGCGACAACACATTTTGTCTGCCCATAAATCTATGACCAAATTACAATTGTCAATTTATGCTTCAGCTTGCCGACCGATTCACTCATCAGTTATTTCCAATGGCTTACCTACGTAAAACCAACTGTCACCCTTTAATATAGTTTGATGGGTTTCTGGCCGTTGCTTATGTTACCGATGGCTTACCGACTTACAACGAGGGGTAATAACTCGTCGGGATATCGTCAGAGTGCAAAGGTCGTCATGAATTCCTTTGTTTACTTGGTTAAATATAGGTGATTTATGGTCCGTTTGAGGCAGCTTATTTGATGCGGTTACGTTTTGAAAACACAATTGGTCTGTTTGTGTAAACTGCATTTTGGCAGCTTATGCGTTTTCAAAATGCTGAAAACAGTGTTTTCACGCGCCGCACCTATCTAGGTGCATCTAGGTGCGATAACTTTCTAGCAGAAGTCTGGTTTTTACAAAAAATAAAAATTTGTAATAGCCACCGCACATAGCTTATCAACAGATTATTTTTAATCATCTTATCAGCAGATTATTCAATAAGCTGCAGCTGCCCTAAACAGATCCTCAGCTACCCTCCATAAATTGTCGGAAGCCATAAAAAAATTATTCATGCTTTAATAGTAGGCTATTGATATAAAAAAATAAGCTGAATTCCTATAATGCATATATCATAAATATTCCTAATTAATTTAAAATGACTTTTGTTTAATATTTATAAAAATATTTAAAAAAATTAAACTATATTTTTAAATTTAATGGTTTTTAAAAATCTAAGGGGACAACTGCCCCCATAACCCCTCTTATTTCCACAATTGCTCCCCCCAACCTAAAACATATTCTTATAAATCCATATAATCATTTCAGAAACTCTCCAATTTTCTAGGCGCATTTACATACATACCACCCAATTTCTATTGAATTTATATTATAACTCTTTTTTTTTTTTGACATTTATAACATCCAAATCTTAAATATCACATCAAATATATTAAAATTAAATACTTTAGAGATAATTACATGAAAGGCATTCAAAATATTGCTATTTACAAATCAAACACCCTATTAATTTTTTTAAGATATATTTATGAATGCCCCTATCAAACCAATGTGAATTTGATAAAAAAAAATGAAAAATATGAGTGGTTGTTTTATCATGTCCTTTGATATTTAAGTGGGAATTTGAAATATACATAAAAGAGGGTGCTTAATTTGTAAATTGTAATGTTTAGGGTGCCATATTAGATAACTAAATCCATAGGAATCGGGGGTATGTTTGCACGTTTTAAACCCAATAATTACAAATGGAAACATATTTACATTTTAATTTAACAAAAATCATTATTAAAGTGGAAAAACAGACACTCACACAGGAAAATTTTTTTGAGTACGTAAGACGTGATGCAGGTTATAGGGAGGATATTGAGAGATTATAACTACATTATACCCCTGATAAGTTCCACGGTTTTGTTTTCATATATTTATAGATTACAATAAATTACATTGGGTATAACTCGAATATAACCTCCCAATATCCTATTTGTACCCTACTTATAGGTTACTGATGTATGCAATATGCTGAACATAGAGTGCCTTACACGATTAGGCTTTCGAGGCTCAGCATATACGCCGTAGAAAGCTTTACGTGTCAAGATTTTGCCACGTCATCGGAAATATATTAAATTAATTTATTACGGTCGAAATTTAATAATAATGAGTTCAGAACCTTTCAATTAATGCATTTCATGAATATTTAATTAATTTAATTTTATATTTATGCAAAATTAAAAATTAAAAATTCCAATAAATAGTTTCCACGAATGAAACAGCTATCATCATTACTGACGTAATTCCTGAAACCACAAATTTAACCTACCGCATTAAAATTACATTTAAAAACAGAAAATTTCAAAAGCGAATAAAGACCCGGCAAACCCAAGCGAAGCGAATCGGACCGGAGCGGGCCCAACCCGACTCGCCGATTCAATCCCAGCCGTCGATCAACATCAAAGGAAAAGCTATCTCAAATCCTCCGCAGCTTATCGGCCTGGACCACCGGGTTGGACCGGGCAATCGAATCCCGGCCGGCCGACTTATAGTCGAAATCGCAGGCGTGATGCTCCGGGTACCGGTGGGCCCCACAGAACGTCGATCCGCAACGGCACTTGAACCCGGTCAGCCCCACCTTTTTCCGGCAGGCCGTGCACCTTCTCGGCCTCTCCTCCGCCGGCTCATCGGCGACCGCAGGGCTGACTGCATAGGAGAGGAGGAAAGCACGGCGTCTACGGAAGAGGAAGAGAAGGAGGAGGAGGAGGAGAAGGTGGCAGCCATGAGGGATTTCTCCACGGCGATCAGATCCTGCTCTGTTTTAAGATGATCGCGGTAGCAACTGGAGCAGAGGTTTAGGGTTGCAGGGCTGCCGAAGAAACCGCAGTTGTTCGCGCATCGCATACCTTCTTGGCATCTCCGTTCTTCCGCCATGGATCTGAATATCTGATGCGGTGGCAATCACACCTAATTAGAAATTGATTGCAGAAATCAAATCTCGAGGTGAAATCGGCTTTGATTTCTCGGATAGAAGAAGGGGGATCTGCAGATTGGAGCGAGAGAGAGAGAGAGAGAGAGA